CTGCCCTTTTCATCACCAAAGCTGCTTGGGGCAACAGGAAGAGGGAAAAATCCCGTGTCCATGGTCCCCAAGAGCTGGCCTTGGAGCACTTGGTCCAACCTGAACCCCAGTGAACTGGCTGTCCCACAGAGGACAGGATCACTGTGCAAGTGCCCATCCTCTGTACCATAAGGAACCTCCCAGTTCTATCCTTCACCATAACAAGGACTAAAGCAGCAGTAAATGGGGTCTGAAGAGTTTACAGCATTAAGATGATGAGGGCTATGGTTTAAGGGGATAGGAGGGAGAGTTGGGGCAACACAGTAAAGAAAAATATATGGAAGAACATCTTACCTGCAGCTGCTCTTCGTAGGGAAGTCTCCACAGTGGAGTCACTGCATTTGCTAACCTGGAAAGCACAACATCATGGCAGATGCTCCCCCCTGATACCTTTGGTATAACATCCCTGACAGCTACTTCATAGGCAGGACTGTTTTGGTGACAGAGCTGGCTGTGAACACCCAAACTCCCAGTGAACCAGAGAGAAATGCACAGTTTGTGTGGAGCAGGCAGGGAATTGCAAGCTGACAACCCCTTGCTGACCCACACAGCAGTTGTTTAGAGAAAAACCTCAGAACTTGCCACTACTTTTATCTGAGGCAGAGCAAATAAGAACGAAACACATAAAAGCTGATTTAAAAAAAAAAGGCAGAGTAAGGGGTGAGGTGGACATGGTTCAAACAATCATAACTATCCATCAACTACTGACTCACTGAGCCCATGAAGAACGTCACCCCACAGCCGGATAAGTTGCTGGTATTGGTTGCTGGGATTTTTGGAGCTGCTTCCAAAAGCACCTAGTGCCAACTACTTTCAGACAGAGAACTGCAAATCAAACGGACTGTCACTTTTTGCTTGCCACTGTGGCAACCCGTCTGCTCCTTTCCTCTTAAACCTTTCCATTTGTCTTTTCCATTATTCCTATCCCCAGGCCAAGCTCGCGGGAAAAAACAGCTGACCCTTGGCCCTTCTTTTCCTTCTGGGAAGAGCTGCACCAGGGTAAAACCCCAAACCCAAACCCAAAACGCTCTCACTTGCCGCTTCGGAAGAGCGTTCGGTCATTTTGGGAAAGCCGTACCTCTCCTCCCAGGACGGATCTGGCAGGCTGCAGCCCTCCCTGGCCTTTTTCTTCCCTTTCCCCTCTGTCGTTGCCCCCAGGCTGCGGTCCGGGCCGAGCAGGGCGAGCGGCGGCGGGCGGAGGTGCCAGCGCGGGGGTCTCAACAGGCAGCACAGAGCCATGGTGGGGGGCGAGGGGCCTCACCCGTGTGCTGGTGGGACACGGGTGGGACAGTGCTCGTGTCACAGCAACCACGTGGCTGCGCTGAGCTCGCTCGGGACACGCTGGAAGCGGAGTGCCCCCCGCCACCGAGCCTGTCCGGTGGGACGCTCGGGGCTGGGGAGGCAGCGGGAGGGATGTCTGGCAGAACGTGTCACCTCAGATGGCGGGGTGGGTGCAGGTGGGTACGTGTGCTCACACGTGTAGGGACGTCAGGACAGCGGGAACAGCCCCTCTCCCAGGCCGTGCCTCCGGCACGTGGTCGTGGAAAAGCAGGAAGCAGGCAAGCACACGTGATCTCACATGCCCGCTTAACCCTCTCGGGCACCAAATATTTTCGGCGCTGCTGGGGTTTCCCGAGTCAGGTGTGGTTTATCTATTCAGGGACCCCAAGAGCTCTCTTATCCCTTTGACCTCACCTAATATTCCTGCACCCACACATCCTTCGGCCAGGAGGCTCACCCACCCACCTGGTACCATTTGGGTCAACCTTTCTTGTTTGAACCTGGCTGCTGCGGCCCCAGCTGGGGGCTTCAGAGCCCGTCGCCATCCCGGTCCCCATCCCGACCCCGGTCCCAGGCCCCATTCCCGTCTCGCTCCCGATTCCGCGGTGGTGGTGGCGGGGCAGGAGGGCGGGTCCGCCCAACCGCCAGGGGGCGCAATCGCCGCTCAGCCCCGCTGCGCACCCGGGGCGGGGTCCGCCAGCCATAACCACGCCCTGAATAGGCGTGGTCCGTCTTAACCACGCCTATTAAGGGCGGGGACAGCAGCGTTGAGCGCTGTGTGCAGTGGCCGCGCCCCCTCCCCGCCTCCTCCAGGCCCCGCCCCTCTGTTACGCGAGAGCGGCGCGGGCGCTGATTGGGCGGCGGCGCGGGGCGGGGCGGTGCGTCAGTTCCGCGGCGGAGCGGGCGATGCTGGCGGCGGGCGGCGGCTCCGGCCCCGCCGGGCCGGGCGGCTCCGGGCCGGGGCTCGGCGGCGACGGCGACTTCCTATCGCGGTACCGGCTGGTGTCGGCCAAGCTGCGGCGGCGGTTCCTGCGCAAGCCCAACGTGGCGGAGGCGGCGGAGCAGTTCGCGGCGCTGGCGCGGGAGCTGCGCGCCCAGGAGAGCCTGCCCTACGCCGCCTGGTGCCAGCTGGCCGTGGCGCGCTGCGCGCAGAGCCTGTTCCACGGCCCCGCCGAGGCGGCCGCGCTGGCCGAGGCCGCGCGGCTCTTCCTGCGGCAGGAGCGGGACCTGCGGCAGCGCCTGGGGCTGCGCGGCGGCTTCGGCGAGCACGTGTCGGCGGCGCAGAGCTGCGGGGCCTTCGCCGCCCGCCTGCACCTGGAGCGCGGGCAGCCCGCGCTGGCGGCCGGGCCGTGCC